CTCTACCCCCTTTATCTTATTGTACACGCCTGATGATGAATTAATCGAAAACATTCGTTTGCCTATCTTGACTTCTTGAAAACACAAGTTGTTTGCTACAACTGCGGCTTCAGCAACGAACAGCAAATTATCGATCGGCCAGAGCTATAGTGATTATAACTACGATTGTGTGATCATAGATTCTGATTGTACATATTGAGCGAATTAATCGATAAGTTCATTGCGTAGAAAACTGGATGATCCGATCTGCTGAAGACCTATTGTTGTAGCTGAATGTCGGCATTAGCAGAGCTTCCCGTTACTCGCCGTATAAAAGCACATCTTCGCTCATAAGTAGACAACCATTTGTAGTTAGAGTGGAAATTAAAATGTCGCGCGATAAATTCAAAAAACACGGTATTTGCTTAGATAGCCAAGGCAGCCAACTATGCGCTTGCAGTGAATCTGCCTTAACTCGAAGCACCGAAAGTATTCTGAATTTCAGGCTTGTTTGGCTCAAAAAGCGATAATTCCGCGGTGACTGAAAGATGATGATAAATGTGGGTAGATGGGAGACCGCAGACAAATATTTCTGTGAATTTGGAATGGGAAACCATAAAAGCTAATGAATACCGACATTGAGCATCTAGGCAAGCCATTTATGCCCTTTAATTAATTTAAACGTTTTGTAACTTCAATTTAGAAGTCACCTTGTGTCGCTAACCCCACTAAAACGTTCTATCACGCACTACTGTCCCTTAATATCTTTCTAAATAGTAGATCTTTTATACTTACGCATGGTCTAAAACGTCGAGCCAAGGCCAAGCTGGTCGGCGGTATAGGCGTTTGGCTCGTTATGCAACTAGGCACTGGCGACCAAGCACTAAGCTACCTAAACTGTCAGTTAAATCAAGAAAAACCGTCACACCAGGACAAAGTTTGCTCATATTTGCCTACCCGTAAGTTAGGTCAAACTGTCTTTGTCCGAGCTCAACAGGTCTCGTGACTTAATTCACTGGTTGTTTCTACTTCCACATCTGTGCCAGTCGTTTTTACTGATAGTCAGAGACCATTCCCTATTTTTTGAGTGACGACAGTGGTCGAGTGTCAATATCTCCTGCCCTAAACTGCCAAGACAACGAGCTCGTGGATCAATGGTTAGGGCGTTTGACTCTGATCAAAAAGGTAGCGAGTTCGAAGCTCAGGTTGGACACCACTGGGGTCTGGATATGGCTGGCTGGCGACGACTAATAAGCCAGAAATGGCCATTTCAGTCTCCGTTGTCTCTGCCGGAAATACTATCTGCCTACTACCACTTGTTACGACAATCAGAGCCTCTAGCGAGGGCCAAGGCAGAGTGCGACAGATGGGTTCCTTTAGCGGTCAGGTTAACGTTCACCAACGAGGGTCGATTGATTATTTTCTTATTGCATCTCCTAACAGCGTGACCCACCGTGGTGCCGAGTTTCAGTCCTAAATCATTCAGTTAAGGTCCACATTGTTATTCATTAACCTGTAAACATTTACTTTTATTCTATGGGTTCTGGTTTCCAGTTGTTTATGTGTACATGTTATTCATCGAACTGACAATTATATTACTTATGCGGATGACTGCTACGAACTATAAATACCGTGCAACCTGTTCATGTATCAACCTTATCTGCGAATATCTCCGACTTTCCTACGATTACGTATGATTAAGGATTCTCGACAGAATCTGAAACGTCAGGAAAATAAAACTCTTATTCCAGTGATCGCATCTTCTTCTTCTGACCCAACGAATTTTCCTCACTGTAAGCAATCTGATGCAGTTTTTAGCTATCTGGCTGCGCCAAAATCAACGGCTTGAAAGGTTGCTACCTGGTGGGCTAACTCGATCTTCCTCTCAGGCGGTGAGTCAGGCCGCATTGTCTCCTTACTGTGGCCTCTGTGGCACTCCCGCTCAAATGGGGTCCGAGCCATGCATTTCTGGTTTAGGTGGAAAAAACTGATACATCGTGCTGGGGCCTAGCGCGTGTGGTATGCACGTGTCCGAAACTCTTGACACAAGGCTAAAGTGGGTGAGGAAGGAAAGGACGTGGTAGGTGCTGCGAATGTTCGCTATCAACGTAAACTAACTCACATGAAAGCTACCGTCTGAGAAGAAGAAGACGTACGGGATCGAAAGCCAAATTTTGGGGTCGGTGCGCCTTTGTTGGCCATCTCGTTTGCGTAGGCAACGGTTGACGAAGTTGCGCGGGCAGCCATTTTCTCTGAACACCCGTCAGAGGTATTCTACCTCGGCAAATTTGTCTTCTTCTTCGCTGCAGTGCGTCTCA